CCTGAAGGAAATATGCCTTAGAGGCAATAATAAAGTTATTATTTATTTCCTCATATCATGATAAATGTTTATTATTCATGCTAGAATTGTATTACCCGGAAACATAATACATGTGTGAATACATAGACAAACATAGTGTCACTAGTATGCCTCTACTTGACTAGCTCGTAAATCAAAGATGGTTAAGTTTCCTAACCATATACATGAGTTGTCATTTGATTAACGGGATCACATCATTAGGAGAATGATGTTATTGAATTGACCCATTCCGTTAGCTTAGCACTTGATCATTTAGTATGTTGCTATTGCTTTCTTCATGACTTATACATGTTCCTATGACTATGAGATTATGTAACTCCCGCTTACCGGAAGAACACTTTGTGTGCTACCAAACGTCACAACGTAACTGGGTGATTATAAAGGTGCTCTACAGGTGTCTCCCAAGGTACTTGTTGAGTTGACGTATTTCGAGATTAGGATTTGTCACTCCAATTGTCGGAGAGGTATCTCTGGGCCCTCTCGGTAATGCACATCACTATAAGCCTTGCAAGCAATGTAGCTAATGAGTTAGTTACGAGATGATGCATTACGTAATGAGTAAAGAGACTTTCCGGTAACGAGATTGAACTAGGTATTAAGATACCGACGATCGAATCTCGGGCAAGTAACATACCGATGACAAAGGGAACAACGTATGTTGTTATGCGGATTGACCGATAAAGATCTTCGTAGAATATGTAGGAGCCAATATGAGCATCCAGGTTTCTCTATTGGTTATTGACCGGAAACGCGTCCCGGTCATGTCTACATAGTTCTCGAACCCATAGGGTCCGCACGCTTAAAGTTTCAATGACGGTTATATTATGAGTTTTGATGTACCGAAGATTGTTCGGAGTCCCGGATGTGATCACGGATATGACAAGGACTCTCGAAATGGTCGAGACATGAAGATTGATATATTGGAAGCCTATATTTGGATATCGGAAGTGTTCCGGGTGAAATCGGGATTTTACCGGAGTACCGAGGGGTTACCGGAACCCCCCGGGGGCTTAATGGGCCATAGTGGGCCTTAGTGGAGAAGCGGAGAGGCGTCCAGGGCTGGTCCGCGCGCCCCTCCCTCCCTAGTCCAAATAGGACAAGGAGAGGGGGCGGCGCCCCCCATTTCCTTCCTCTCTCTCCCTCCTCTTTCCCCCCTTCTCCAAGTCCAACAAGGAAAGGGGGAGTCCTACTCCCGGTGGGAGTAGGACTCCCCATGGCGCGCCTCCTCCCTGGCCGTCTGCCCCCTCACCCCTTGCTCCTTTATATACGGGGGTAGGGGGCACCTCTAGACACAACAATTGATCTCTAGATCTCTTAGCCATGTGCGGTGCCCCCCTCCACCATAGTCCTCCTCGATAATATTGTAGCGGTGCTTAGGCGAAGCCCTGCGATGGTAGAACATCAAGATCGTCACCACGCCGTCGTGCTGACGAAACTCTCCCTCGACACTCGGCTAGATCGGAGTTCGAGGGACGTCATCGAGCTGAACGTGTGCAAGAACTCGGAGGTGCCGTAGTTTCGGTGCTTGATCGGTCGGGCCGTGAAGACATACGACTACATCAACTGCGTTGTTCTAACACTTCCGCTTTCGGTCTACGAGGGTACGTGGACGCACTCTCCCCCTCTCATTGCTATGCATCTCCTAGATAGATCTTGCGTGATCGTAGGAAATTTTTTGAAATTGCATGCTATGTTCCCCAACAAAGATTAGGTGTTCGGATATGCTATTTCCTTTCTCTGTAAAACCGACTCTGTACAAGCCTAGGCCCCTCTGGTGTCTATATAAACCGGAGGGTTTAGATTGGAGGCAAGATCATAATATTCATGGGCTAGACAATCTAGGGTTTAGCCATTACGATCTTGAGGTAGATCAACTCTTGTAACCCCTATACTCATCGAATAAATCAAGCAGGACATAGGGTTTTACCTCCTTTAAGAGGGGCCGAACCTGGGTAAACATTGTGTCCCTTTGTCCATTGTTACCATAGATCCTCAGACGCACAACTTGGGCCCCCCTACCCGAGATCTGCCGGTTTTGACACCGACAAAGCACTCGACCGTTGCAGCTCCCACGTCGCCCCTATGCCTTCTTTGTCTGAGTGATGATGGTTGGGTCGATTGAAGGGAAGACGTCTAAGTGACGTCGGTGTATTCGAGTAGATTTTCAATGGTGCGCATCCGAACATGCCTGAGATCCAGGGGGCTCCAATGTTGGTGTGGGACCATAGGTGGGCCTTAGATATCAGGTACTTGACACTGGTAGTATATGACCCCATCACCGCTTAAAGCAGTACTACTGCCCAGGCAAAAAGGAATGAAGCCCCAAAACGGAAACATCTATAACTACTACAAATGAACTGCAAAAGAAGCAAACTCAAGCTTGTTTAATAGACAACAAAAAGTACTATCCAACAACGACTGGTTAATATAAGAAGTGGTAGTAGAAAAATGTCTATGATATAGAGATGTGAAACCTATATGAATGAAGAACCGGCAAAGCCTCCAACATCGAAAACATCATTGAAGATGCATATGAACTCCGTTTTTCTGATGAACTTGAGCTTGTCATGAAGATGACCCTAAGCTCTAAAACTCACATAGAGAAACACCAAACAAGAACAAACAAAGATGATTCAAGGATGAAATGGTTTGGGCTCTCTATGAATGATACGATCAAATTACTCACTTGAGAGCTCCCCTTGATAGTACATCAATCGATCCTATAACCTGGTCTCCCAACTACCTCCATGAAACCAGTAAAATAGAAAACCTACCAGGGGCAAACCTTTGCCTTGAACATAGCCCACTTGAGCTAGATGATGACGATATTGACTTCCTCAAGTTGGACCACCTTTCTTGATTGTGCTGGCTCGATGAAGACTACTAGAGTGCTCCCTCATACTCCACTATGGGTGAGCCTCTCTTCAGCAACTCTTCACATGCCCATTGTCACCACAATGGACGACAAACTTCAAGTATGATCTCTCTATGATGCTCCACTTGAACTTGCACATCGCAATCTTGATGACGATCACCACTTGATGTCATCCTTCATGGGTCATATGATATCTTCCTTTTGATGCATGCCCATGGAAACAAACCTAACCCCACAAAGAAATCTCACATAGAATAGGGGTTATTACATAAAGCGTAATGGGTAATGCTTACCATACCATGAGATCACTTGATCCCACTTGGTACGTCTTCTAAGCTTTGTGTGTCGATCAACTTGAATCACTCTTTGTACTTAGTCTTGATCAAACTTGTATCTTTCCAACTCTCTTCATTAGGATGATGTCTTAAAGGTAAACATGAATGTTCACACAATCTTCTTTTTCAAGACATGCTTGAAATAGGCTCAATCTCACATGACCAATCTTTGGATAAATCCTTGAATAGCACCTTGGTCAACACTTAATCTCCTTATAACCTTGAAACCAACAAATGGTCCTCAAGCAAATCCTATGGACAAACCCTTGAAATATAACTTAAGGCAACCACTAGTCCATAAGGATTGTCATCAATTACCAAAGCCAACCATGGGGGCACCATGCTCTTTCACGTTCCAAAATGTCTGGGCCTTCAGTTTATGTTTGTCCATTTTTTTGAAAAGTCAAAAACCCTAAAACTTGATCAAGTTTGTGGATAAAAATATTTGCATCTAGAATGTCAAACATATATCGTTAGATTCATCATAACATGTACTTTCAAATATTATGTATTTGGTGATGTAGATATAAATAGTTTTCTCTACAAACTTGATCAACATTTGCAGAAATTGACTTTTTAAAAATATTATACGCACTACACTACTGAACGGAGGGAGTATTAAACAGGGTTACAGGTGCATGTTTAGGTGATCACATAACTAGATACTCCCTCCATTCCATAATGTAGCGTGTATATTTTTTTAAGTCAAATTTTGCAAAATTTGACCATGTTTAAAGAAAAATTATTTGTATTTAGAATACCAAATATATATCATCGGATACATCGTGAGTTAAATATTCATACTATTGTATATGTTTGGTATCGTAGATATACTACCTCCGTCCCCAATTGGGTGGCGTATAAATTCAGTTAAAAAGTCAATGTTTACTTGTTTGACCAAGTATATATACAAAATTATGGAGATAAATAATACCAAATCAATATCATCATATCCATCATTAGATATATTTTCATAATCTATTTATTCAATATTGTATATGTTGGTATTTTCTTCTATATATTTGGTCCAACTTTTGACTCAACTTACACGGGGACAGAGGGAATAGATAGTTTTCTTCATAAACTTGGTCAAAGTTTGCTAGGCTTGACTTTAAAAAAAATTATATGCACTACATTATGAAACGGATGGAGTATTGCAATTACTCAGCGAATGGTGAGTTTGTAACAGGTCCAAACTGGTCCTGGTCGGATGCATGTGTTTGGATGAAATTCAGCACATACCACTAATAATTTGCTCATAGGCTTGGTGCAGAGGTTTTCGAATTTCTTAGGTACAAATTCTGCGAAGTATGTTAACCGTGCAGGTCAACATCATATGATGGAGGGAGAAGTCGAGAGAAGTCCAAGTGCCGTCGGGTTCATTTCTGTTATCGGAGCTCAGCTATCAAATTGCTGTAGCTCGAACATTTAATTTTAATTTGTGTAACTACTCCGTACTTTTCATGTACTACTATATGGAGTACCTTGAAGTTTATGTTTTCTGTCCTAGTTGTGATTCTGAATTTCCGAGGCGAGGACGGCTCGGCCGTGGAAACATGACTCATCCTTGGCCCTTTGTGTTCTGGTCTGTCACGATCCAAGAAGTGTAGCTACCTTTCATGTCTCCTCCGATTCTTACTCGCCAATCCACCAGAAGCGCGTGTCCCCCGTACAAAATTGCGACCGACGACGATTTTCCCCACCTCCCCACTAACCCACTTCCTTTCACCCACGCAGTCCACCACACAACCATGGCGAGCGCGGCGCCGGGGCTCGACCTTCAGGATCTCCGCCTGCAGGAGCTCATCCGAGGCTCCATGCCGGACCGGCCGCCGTCCTCATCGTCGTCCCGCGTGCCGCCGCTCAGCGACGACGAGATCGGCCGGTTCTACTGCGCGGTCTGCATGGAGCCCAAGCTGTTGTTCGACCGGTTCCGCGCCACGCCCGCGTGCGCGCACGACTTCTGCGTCGCCTGCGTCGTGTCCCACATCGAGGCCCGCGTCGCGGACGGCGCCGTGCCCGTGCCCTGCCCGGCGGCCGGGTCCGGCTGCCCCGGCGCCATGCACCCGGAGGCGTGCAAGAAGCTGCTCGACATGGACGTGTTCGACGCCTGGTGCATCGCGCTATGCGAGCGGGCCGTCGGGCCGGGCCGCGCGCGCTGCCCCTACCGGGACTGCGGCGAGCTCGTGGTGCTCGACGCCGGCTGCGGCGCCGCCGTCGGCGCGGTGCCTGAGGAGGCGACCTGCCCCGGCTGCTCGCGCGCCTTCTGCCTGCTGTGCGAGGAGCCCTGGGACGAGCGCCACGACGGCGGCCAAGGGTGCGCGCTCGACCGGCTCGCCGTGGGGCACAACTGGATGCGCTGCCCGAGCTGCCGCGCCATGATCGACAGGATCGACGGGTGCAAGAGCATGCTGTGCAGGTAAAACTAACCGCGGTAACCACTTACTACTTAAATTGACTTTCACCTGCAAGTTTCCTCCTCAGTTAAATCTTCAAACTTGCTTAAGATTATGAACCAAGGTTTGTGCGACTTTTCCTGGTGGCCATTTCAAACAATGAAGGAGGATTGTCATAGGCAGCTGTTGCTTAGAATTTGGTTATGCAATTTTGGACGACACTGCCTGAATTTCAGTCCCTTTTCCTGCGACCCATTGATTGTGATCTGTAGTCTTCGTAGAAGCATCTATAAATTTGTAGACTTGAGTTGACTAATGACTTGAAAAACCTTGTTGACTTGACTGACGACGACGACAGCATGAGAGGTTCGAAGCAGTTTCATTTTTCAGATCAGCAGAGATCCATTTCATAGAACAAAACTCATGTTCACAAACACAAAGATTCAGAACCCCAACCAAAAACATAAAGGCAAAGCGGTTGTTAATGTCTGCCACTATTTATTTTTATTTATTTGAGAACTGTCTGCCACTAATTTACTACTGATAATTTCTCCGAGTCTGTACTGAATCTCCGTCTGCTCTTGTGATGATCCACAGGTGTGGCTCCGTCTTCTGCTACGGCTGCGGCTCGTCTCGGGCAGAGGGGATGTGCAGATGCTTTGCTTCGCGACGGGAGGATTTCATACCACTCGACGCCGGGGCAAGCGCTTGCCTTTCCTCGACTCTCGGCAAGGATGCAGTCATGTGAATACTTTTCAGTCGGTGGTTGTTGATTATTATTTTTTTCTTTTGCGGGCTGATGATTGTTGAATTGATCGAGTTAGTTAGCTACCTTAACAGTGACAAAAAATATCTTGTAGTATTAAGTTACAGAGTGAGTATTTACTAGCATAGCAAGAAATTTGTGTGTTACAACAAGGGTATACATATTCTAGCAAATGAACATTAATATTGTCAGACATAACTAAATGTCCGTGCGAGCTACTCCCTCCGTTCAGACTTACTTGTCTTGGAAATTGATGCATCTAGAACTAAAATACGTTTAGATACATCCATTTTCGCGACAAGTAATTCCGAACGGAGGGAGTACGACCGAATAAAATATATAAAGACATTGGTCAAAGGAATGTTTTCATCGCATTAGTTAGGAAAACCAACCTTTGCTCCTCCAACTGGGAGTTGGTTTCATAGCACTGTGATGGCTAACTTCAATAAAAACCAGAAATTATGTCATTACTTTAATAAATGACCCATATTGCATTTGAGGTGACACACAGGATTTATTTTTTCTGGTAACATGGGTCACTCCCGCTCGTGCCTCGCTATGGCACTCATCCTCTCTAGCGACCCTTCCTCGTCCCGAGCGTTCTCTTTCTAATCATATTATGTAAATTTACAATAAAATGTCTTCCATCTCCTATTCTCCTTTTCTCTTCACCAGCTTCTACTTTTCTCTCCGCCAACTTCTCGCATCCACTGCCGTCGTCACTGCTTCGCTTTATCCTCGTGTATCAATCTTCTCATACTTCTCATATATGTTTTTGAACGTTTTTTCAAATATGTGTTAAATATTTTTCAAAAGCACATTGAAATATCTATTTGAATGACATGAAACTTTTTTTGAAAACTATGTGAACATTTTTAACATTGTATAAATATATTTAAATCTCGCAATTTTTTTTTAAATGTGTGAAGTTTGTTTAATGCGGCATACATTTTTTTACATTGTACATTCTTTTAAAAAGTTGTCCACAAATGTTTTTGAAACACGTGAACATTCTTGGAATGTCACATACATATTTTTCTAATGGTATAAACATTTTCTAAACGTTGAGCGAACATGTTTTCTACACTGCATGAATACTTTTAAAATAACAAAATCAATTTTTTAAAATAAATGTATTTAATATTTATTTTTAAAAATATACAAAAGTAAAAGGAAGTGAGTGACATCATCATGACACCAGCCCAATGGAGGCTACTAGGCCAGGCAACTACCAGCTCCTGTAGGCAAGCCAAGCTACTATCTCACGCGAAGCAAGATATAGTGCGTGACCCAGTTTAGCGCAAAGAAAAAAAATAAGGAAAAAGATGAGCATTGTTGTCTAACATTGCAGTTTAGTTTCCCACTGGAACAGGTGCAGAGCAAGTCGGAAGATTGCCTCGCTAGAACCTAGAAGCGAGGTATAGCCGCACCCTCCCGCAAGGGGTACTCTTAACTTTTCTTTTTTGAGAAACATTTGTAACTTTATTCATACTCATAACAATTACGGGTACATTGATTTAGACCTAAGATCCAAGAAAATACAAAGTAACTCATGTGGCTAAGAAGTACAATAAAACACCTTCTTCGTGGTATCAATATCTGCTCGAAGAAATATTCCAAAGACTTCGGTAAAATGGGTGCAATTGGACAGGAGCAGCGTGTTGTCACTCTTTCACCTGCACGAACATTATCAATAATGGTTTTTGAAAACACCTTGAGTCGCCTATAAAGATGGGAAGCCTTAAGTGCAAGCCGTCGAATCGCTATATCTTCATCATGGTGTCGATGAAAGATTTCACCTTCACAAAGAACCAAGCCAACAAAAAAAAAACTTAACACAGTAACATAAATTCATCAGATCCTTATAATTGAACCTGCGAGGATAGAAAACTCTCTAACCTCATGGCACCGCCAAAAGAATATGAGAAAATTTATTCTCAAAAAACTATGATGATAACTAGACGTTGACAAAGAACATAGAGGCCTTGAATATCTGAGGTCCCCCCACCTCTCAGCGTCAATGTTGGGGATATAACTGTTAGGTATTACCTATGGCGATTCATGATATGAAGCCCACGTGGATATTGAAGATGGCGGTTCACAAGCAAGGGCCCAAGGCCCAAGGGTGACTTAAGGCCCGTAGGAGTAAACCGCCATATATGTAAGACTTGTACTGTAAGGCATGTATAGATAGTCACCGAGTCGGACACGTTGTTTATGAGCTGGTCGGGACTCCGTGAGTCGCTGGGCGTCAACCTGTGTATATAAAGGACGACCCGGCGGCGGTTCAGGGCAAGAGACAACAAATCGAAAGCTAGGGTCAAGCGAATTCGCTCCCTGGTAATCGAGACATAAGCAATACCACCTCAAACTGGATTAGGCCTTTACCTTCACCACAAGGGGCCGAACCAGTATAAACTCTCGTGTCCTTTGTCCCATTTAACCCCTTTAAGCTAACCTAGTTGTGATGGCTCCACGACTAAGTCATTTCGCTAGGACATATGTCGTGACTATTCCACGACAGTTGGCGCCCACCATGGGGCCAGCGCACAGTGGTTTCGAGTTCTTGAAGGGCAGCTTCGAAGGGATCAAGGGATAAGATGTGGGACGGATGACCAAGAGTCGTCGCGGCAAGCTCTACATCGACGATGCAGGCTGGGGTCCCGAGGACGACTCGATTGAGTACGGGTACTGGGTCCCCTTCGGCGGAATCCACGTCTTCATCGGCAAGATCGACGAGCAGGGCCCTGAGCCGGACATCTGCACCGACATCATCGAGACGGCTCAGCGTGCAAGACCCGCCCGAGCTCAGCCCGCCGTGAAACGTGTCTTCGTGGGATTCATCCATGGAGCGAAATTTGATGAAGGATCTATGTCTGGTGGTGAGACGGCCATCTATTCTGATGGTGAGTCATCCACGGGCGAGACTACTTCATTGTATCAACTGCAAGATGGCAGGCTTGGGGACTATTCCGATGGCAATAGTATTCCGGACCCCTATGAGCCGCCAAACAGGGTCGGGATCTTCATGGCCAGTACACAACCTAGTCAGAACTCTTCAATTGTAGCTGCAATGGTCTCCGGGTCAACGGTGGCGGCGGCAGCCTGGGTAGGAGGCCTTGTGCGCCCACCGACTCAGGTTTTGACGGGTTTAATGGATAAACTGACAGATCTGTTGACAGCAGAGGTCAACCCGGCGAATTAAGCTCAGCACAATGCGGAGATTGCAAAGTTACGTCATGAGGTGGCACTGGCCAAGGAAGACCTGGCGGCAGATGACGTCAGGATAGTCGTAGAGCGGGCTGCCCTGGATGCTCAGGCCCAGCGGATTTAGTCAGAGGCTTTCCGGCTTACGATGGATCAAAATGCTTCAAATGAAATCATGAGGAGGAGGCACAAGTCTCGTCTACCTACGGTTTATGAGGCGAGAAACCTCTTTTGTACACCTGGAGCGGGGATCAGTAACCCGCCGCAGACAAACCGGGTTGCAGCAGCACCTGGGGCCGGAACGCCGGTTCAGCCACGCGTGATGGAGCCACCTTGTTTGAATAATATTCCGCCTCAGCATGTGCCAACACCACCGGGTCATTACTCGAACCCTTTGGATAACATGATCGCTGCGGCGACACGACTGACGGCTCTTCCAGTAGATGGCGGCTCTCCAACGGCGGTTGAAACACGAAGGGCTAGGGAGCTTCTTCAGACTGCATTGGTGCAGCAGGATGCATATTCTTACAGTCGGGATAGGATTCATTCGACCCCTCGCCCAAGCCGGAGTTATAGCAGACACATGGACTCGCCGGCCATTTCAAGCAATGAACAACGTTGTAACCGGCCACGTGAGCATGATCCGGCGTGTAATGGAGCTCATGACTTGGTCGGTACAGACAGAGCACGTCAGGAGGCTGAGCAGGCGGCTCACCAACCCCTTCCAATTTATCCAACGGCTTCACTGGAGGCAGGTGTGACCTATAGACTACAGGTGTATCCTGTTTGGTGTCGGCTCTGCGTAATGAGCGTTTGTCCAAGGATTTCAAAGGACCTCGCAAGGTGCCTAACTACACAGCCGACTTAACCCCTGAGGCATGGATTGAGAGTTATGAGATGGCCATGGAACTGCTGGAGGTTAGTGATGCTGTGTGTGCTAAATACTTCACCATGATGCTGGATGGCACGGCCCATACTTGGTTAAAGGGGCTGCCTGCCAACTCCATCGGGTCATGGGGTGAGCTGAAGGCTCGGTTTATCCAGAACTTTAAGGATACATGCAAACAGCCCATGTGGATTGTGGACTTAGCTGCTTGCGCCCAAGAGGAGGGTGAATCAACGACCCATTGGGTGCGTCGGATCAA